GCTGCCCCAGCCACCAGAATAAAAGCCCGTCTCCGAGGGTGTTCTGCCCCCTGACACACCGTTCCGGCCCTTTCCACTTCGATTTTACCAAATCGACACGGGGCCTCGGACGTCGTTTTGGTCACTCCCAAAAGAGACTCTTGATGGCATTTCGGGGGGGGGGGCAGGTGAAACAGACCAGAGCAAAGCAGTTCCAGGATCCAAAAAAACCCAAACCAAAAAACCCCATATAAAAGCAGTTTTAAAAAACGAAACCGCCTTTTTGAAAGCCGAATGTTATCATTTGCCAACAAAGACTCGTGGGTGAAGGGGACGCTTGGTGGGGAGGGGACTCTCATCCCTCACCCCACCCCGGGGGCCGCTCCCTCCCCTGTCCTCACCCACTTCGCAGGGGCGCCCAGACTCAGGACCCCCTGAGCTGGCAGGGATCCCAGGCCGATTATCCCCGCAGCCTTCCCCACGTCCCCCCAACGCCAGGAAGACGCTCTCAGTTCCGGCCCCAGCCGGATCCGTTCCTCTGAGTCCCTAACGGGAGCCTGGGGGCCGGGCCCCGCTTCTTGGGGCGCCTTCCCGGCTGCCTGGAGGCAGTGCATTTAGCAGGACTGAACGCTATCCACGGCGGCAGAGTGGGGAAGAGGCAGACGGCGGGTGCCTAAGCCTCCGAGTGACCCTCTGTTCGTTTTAGTCATCAGAAAGCCATCCTTCCAGGGCTAACTCTGGGCCAGGCCGTCAGGAGTTACAAACACACCCTCTCCAGCCGGGGATGGAATGTGAGGGTCGGCATGTGGCTTCACCACGGCAGGCCAGGCTCTCTGATAACCCACACGCGGCTCCCAAGTGCACTGGACCATGGGCTGTGGGAGAAGCGAAGGGCCCCGGAGAATCACAGATGCATCCAGAATCGCTCTCGATGGCCTCCTCCTGGGAAGATGGACCCTTCCTCTTAAGAGTCCCGGTTTTCCTCACTTCCATTGGATGACTACTCCCCCCAAGCCTCCGACGGCCCCAGCAGACAAAGGTTCATCAGGTCTGGCCCCTGGCAGGGGCCATCCAGCTCACCACCAGAACCCTGCAATCCTGGCTACCTTTCTGGTGCTTGCGAGGAGCCCCCATAGTCTTGCGAAAGAGATCCCGGAAGGAAAGAATTAAACTTGAGAAAGTTTAGCCTCCACTCAACAAAGAAAGCCAGGCGTTCCCACTGCATTTCCCAAGAATCGGGGGTCAGGGGACTTTCCTTTTCCCCTTTCTAGAAATCTCCGTCCCTGACTGGGTTCTCGGGGCCTGTGACACCCGGATACTCAAGGTTTGCCGTCCCAACCAACAGGGCACTGGTCAGCCCTGAAAATAAGTATTTCATATAAAAGATCCATTGTCTTGGCTTGGAGACAATTGTTGCGTTTTCCCCTCCTCTGCTCCGACACATCAGCATGCCCGTCCGATGCCCAGGCTCCCTTCTCGTCGCGACAGCGCGTTCTGAGAAAGGGCCATCTTGCTGGGTCTTCCTGAGCCATCGGCTAAGAAAGCAGATTCTCCTCAACGAAGCGTTCTGGGAAATGCGTGCTTATATTTGGGCAAAGAACAATTAGCTCACCGGCGGTGAAACCCTCCCACCCAATCGCCACCCGCGTTGCGAGCTCGAATGCCGGCAGCTGGTGTGGCCGCTCTGGACCCCAAGTGGTGACGGCCTGCCCTCGATCTGCCCTGGAGCCCCAAAGAGGTGAGAGGCACAGGTCAGACCCCCGGGTCAGCACCCACATGAGCTCCTCAAGTGCCATTCTGTGGGGAGGCTCCCCTCCTTCCTCGGTAAACATGTCCCAGGACCTCAAGGGGCCTTGCTCCCATCTAGTGTCCCCAGTGCCTCCGAGCCACGTCCCTGTGACAAGGGAAGCCCGGCTTTGCAAGCTTCCTGGCATTCCATCTGGGAGAAAATATCAAAGTTCACCTTGCACCGCCTTTTGGGGGTGAGGAGTAAACTTGTAGGTGTCCTTCCGAGAGAAACCAAAACTGGACTCTGGTTCTTAGAAACTCAGGAATATAATCATCACTCAGGGTAAACACAGTGATCACCATTTACAACAGCAACACGCTTTATGGTGTCCCTGCCACGTGCCAGGAACTGTGCTTTGTGGGGAGAGCGCTGTCTGGACACTGACGGTGCTGTCATTATTCCCAGGGCTAGGGCTCAGAGTGCAGGCCCAGGGCGGTGAGGCGCCTTGTCTGGGGTCACACAGTAAGCCAGGGGCAGGGCCAGATGGGAGCCGCCCCACGGGAGCCAGGACACCCCAACCCCCGGCCCGTTCATGGGGTTGCCACAAGTGTCTTCTCCCTTCTCCCCAAAGATGCAAGGACACCGTCTAAGCCCGAGGAAAACCAAGCATGATGGTTGTGAGATGTTTTCCTTGCAGGCCTGCAAGGGCCGCCCTCCCTTCCCAAACACTGGCCTTCACTAGGGACACACACTGGTTTCCCTGGACACCCGGGAGCACTTGCTCAGTCAGAGGCCCCATCCCTCAGCCCCAGGGACTGCCTTTCCGTCAGGCCTCATCCACACCAGAGCAGAACAGGCCCCAGGCCCCTTCTGAGGATGGGAGCAAGCAAGACCGGTTCATAAACCGCCCCATCGGGGGCAAACAACACAGACCCAGAAAGCGACCCTGCCACGAAGCTGCCGCTGTTCCCATGGAGCCCAGCACAACGCCATCCGCACCTGCTCAGGTGATGGTGTACACCCGGGCCCCAGTGCAGGCCTCGTCGCCATACATCGCCTGTGTCGAGCAGTTGGACCCCACCAGCACCCAGGACACCTCTCACCCAGGATCTGGGGGCTTCAGGTGGCCAACGGCTGGGCAGGACCCGGCCCCAAGAGCAAGCGAGGAAAGACCCGGAGGCTGGCCTGGCCTAAAACAAAAGCAGCAATGCCCGGGCCGGCCTCCCACTGGCCCGCCGCAGTCCGTGAGACCCTGTCCCCGGCTTAGCACATTCTATTCAGTCCAGAAGCGACAAAAACCACACAGGAGCCATTTCCAGAACCTCGGTTTTGGTGTGCATATCCTCAAAAATGAATTCTGCCTGGTTGGGACAGCTCAGCACGGTGAGAAGCCCCGGCAGGGCCCAAGTCTCCCTTGCAACTGGGCTGGCTCCAAAGCACCAAGGACAAAGGCAGGACAGGACGGTGCTGGGGCCGAGGCCAGGCCTCTGTCCGGGAGCGTGGGGTGGGGGAGCACTATTTACTAGAGACTGTCAACCCCACCTCCCAGGGGCCGGGGGCACACTCGGGCTGCCGAGATGGGGATCCGGAGCTTCGTCAAATGGCGACCCCCCACTAAGTGGCCCTGCGGGCACCTCCTTGGATGCTCAGGCCTTTCCCTGCTCCCACAGGCCCAGAGAGAAGCAGCCACAGATGCCCCTCATTTGGGGGGTTGGCAGAACGCCACACCGTCCTGCCCACCACGAGATACGGCACAGATCATCTGCGGAACCGGAGAGAACATCTCCCACACTCTGCAGGCCAGGGTCCTCTGGAACTTGAGCTTCTTCTGAGCATGAGCCGGGCCACTGCCGACGCCAAGCAACAGCTCCCGGTGGCAGCAGCGCGCCTTCCGCAGCGGCGACCCCGTTCCTCAGATCGCTCTGGCACGTCCCACCCGGGTTTCACATCTGCTAACTGCCTCTGACAGCATCATAAATAAAAATTCAAAATGGGGGAGGTGGGGAGGTGGTGTGAGGGAGGTGGGGGGAGAGCGGCCTAGCAGAAGGGACGGCCCCCGGGGTCCAGAACGCAGCGCTGGAGCAAACTTTTGGCCTCTGCACCCGGAGTTGGCCATATCTTAGCTCAAGTCTCCTCTGTCCTCCGGATTCTACGGAACCAGGCAGCCCGGGGAGAGGCTGTCGTGAGGCAGGCCTGGGCGACTTGGGCCTCTGTCCACGTTCCCGGAAACATGGCCTTCAGGTACCAGCTCACAACTCTGGGGCGTTATGGAAACAGGGGGCCCCCCTGCCCATTATTTTGTGGTCAAATCGCCCATTAAGGTTCTCCAAACCACATCAGTAAGATGGGGAGAGCAGAGGGGAAATCGTACTGTGATAGGATGGTACGAAAAAGCGTCCTTAATCCCGCCCCGCCACCCCCAGGACGGGTTTCACTTTAATAGGATAGGTGCCTGCGAATACAAACATGCATTTTAAAATCCTAAATGGCTAGAACCAACGAACGAAAATAAAACGGAGACAGTGACGGCCTGCAGAGACCGCCCTGGCTTCTGAAACCCAACTTTGAAGAAATTAATTTCAGCGTTACCTTACAACCCTGTAATTATGGCAAACGCACATTCCTTCACCCATTTCTTGCTCCCCACAAACTCCCCAGGGCCGCCGGCCGGGTCTGTGTGTGAGCCGCCTATAAAGGGGGATTTATTACGAAAAGTTATGAGTTGTTTTTCGTTTTATGCCACCATAAACAAGAGCCTCCACACAAGGGCCTTTCACTCAACCGGCCCAGTGGCTGCCAACGCTTGACTGCGGCCCCTGAAGCCCGCTCTCCATAAATGCTTGACCAGCAGGGGAAAAAAAAAAAAAAAAAAAAAAAGAAGCGGCGCTTTGGCTGGCTTAGGAAAGGAATGAAAGATGTCAATTTTTCAAAAAGGGATTGCTGCTTCCAGATCACCCTTCCAAACACATTGCCCCTAAAAACAGATGCTTGCTTTCTCTCTTTTTTCTATTCTGGTGAAGATAGCTGCTACGGCTATCTTATGTGTCCGACAAGATTCCTCTCTGACAAATGGTCCGCACACCTGAGATCAGAAACTGTATTTCACAAATAACAAGTTCCTGAATTTTAACGACGGCCGCGGAGTTCTTGCCAAGCTGGACGGGCTGCCGGTTCAAGAGCAGCCTCCCCGGTCTGCCTGCGGAAGGCCTGCCTGCCCTACAGGCTCTTCTTAGAAATCCCTTCATTAATATTTAAATACTCACTAAGTAGCGAAAGTGAGAAATGCACTTACCATCCTCAGGAGTCGCCCCGGAACCTGATAGTGACCCGTGACACGCAGGTCGACTGCCCTGCCCTTGGCGGAGGAGCGCGCGGGGACGCGGCCGGCGCTGCGCTCTCGTGCCCGCACCGCACAGGCCCTGGGCCACGGGTCTGAGTCCTGGTCCGAAACGCTTCCCTCCTTGGCGCGTGTAAACCGCAGAGCGCAGCACGGTGCCATCTCCCGCAACTCTTCGCAGGGCGGGACGGCTCCGGGACGGAGCGACGGCCGGGCGAGGCGCACGGCCAGGCCCCAGCCGCCAGGTCCCGCACCACGCCGCTCCTCCTCTTCTGACCCCGGCTTGCCCGTACGGAGCCACCGGACCTCTCCGAGGAGCGGCGGGCAGCACCCGGTCTCCGCGTCCGCGACTAGCGCCTCGGGGGACCTTTGTCCCCGACGAAAACGAAAGCGCGCCGGGCCGGGGGCGCCCACGCCCTGCCGCGGAGGTCCGGGCCGGCGCGCCCCGCGACTTTCTCCAAGTTCACGTGCTTCCCGGGCCGGCGGGAGGCGCGGGCCCCAACTTGCAGAGACCGGCCGTCGGGCGCGCTGAGGGCTGCGGGCGGGCTCGGGGCCGCCCCGCGGCGCGGCCCGGGCACAATGGGCGCCGCCGGGCGGGCGCGGGGACAGCGCGGGCCCGGGTGCCGCGCGGCCGCTCGTCTGGCGCGGCCCGGGCGCCGAATGCGGCGGCGGCGGCTTGGCATAGACGCGCCGCGCGCCCGGTGCATGCTAATGGCCGGCGGCCGCGCCATGAATTATTCAGCAGCGGCGCGGAGAGGGCGAGCGCGGCGCGGAGGGCGGCCCGGCCCGCGCGTCCCCCGCCGCTGCGAAGCCGCCGCGGCGACTTCCCAAACTTTCCCCGGTCGGCACCGAGGATGCGGCCCCCGCGGCGCCTCCGTCCCCGCCCGAGCGCGCCGGCCGCGCTTCCCACGTTGCCGCCTATTTTATGTCTTTTGTCTCGGAGTTGGCACCTGTCCCAGAGAGCGCGTTTCCCTGCCCACCCCTTCGCCGCCGGATCGGGGCGGGGGAGGGGGTACGGGGGACCCGGAGAGGAGGGGACGGGGAGGTGGGGGTGGGGGAAGCAAGGCGCCTACGGGCCCCGCAGCCAGGAGAGACCTCCCGGGGACAGCGGCCGTGCCCGCGGGCCCGGGCGCCTCTGTTCCGCGGGGAGGTCAAGGCTTCGGCTGTGCCCGGAATACCAACGAAGCCTCGGGGGCCCCCGGCCGTGCCCGCTGCGGGCGAGGACCGGCCGCGGCCCCTCCCTGACTCCCACCCCCCGCCCCGCTCCGCCGCGCACCCTCCTCCGGGGGCCGGCGCGCGCGGGCGGGGCGGGCGGCTCGAGCAGCGGATTCGCCGCCCGAACCCCGCGCCTCACCCCGCAGGCCCGCGTGCGCGCCCCCGCGGGCACGCCACCCCCGGCGCTCCCCGCCGCGCGCCCCCGGCCCGCGGCCCCGCCCGCCTGCCGGCGCGGCCAGGGGGCACCGCGCCGCGAGGACCCCATCGGCCTCCAGCATCGCGCCCCGGGGCCGCGCGGCTGCGGGGACGGGCGGGCGCGAGCCCTGGCCCCTGCTCGCCCAGCCGCCCTGGCACCGAGGCGGCTGCCGGAGCGCGCTCGGCGGCTGCGTTCCGAGGCGCCGGCTGCCATGATTGCGGGCAGGAGGGGCGCGCGCGCAGGCTCTGGCCCGGCTCAGAGACCCGGGGCGGACCGACGGTCTCCCGCCTGCGCGCAGACCCGTACGCGCCGCGGACGGCCGCTAGGGTAGCCGGCTCGGCACTGCAGGGGCCGGCGTGTGCCCCGGAGCTCTGGACAAAGTCCCGGGCCAGGGCTCGGGGTCGACCGCGGCGGCGGGCTTCCCCCAGGGCAGGGTGCGTGCCAGGGCGACCCCGCGGCGGCTTTGCGGACAGCGCCCGTCCGGCGGAGGGAGGGGCGCGGTGCCAGGTGTGGTGGGGGGCGGGGTGCACGGGATCTGGTGAAGTGGAGAGGGGCAGCGCACAGAGCCCAGAGATGGAGGGGGTGCGCAAGGTGCCTGGCGGAGGGGGGTGCCCCCAGGGTGCCGGGGAAGGCGTGGGGTGGTGGGGGCACTGTGCCCAGGGCTGCTGCCCAGCTTCGAGCTCGCTCTTCCTTCCCCGCAGAAACAACTTCCTGCTCCGCTGGCCCAGGGCGGAGGAGCTGCGGGGGGTTCTAGGCCTCAGCTTGGCTCCTGGAGGCGACTACACTGCAACACCCCGGGACCGCTCGGCTCCTTTCCGCGCCCCCTCCCGGGGGGGTCGCGACAGGCCGGGCTCCAGGGTCCCGCCTCTGGTTATAATGCCAAGGAGGCCTCAGCAGCTTTTTTCCTGCCGCCTGAGTGGTTTCCCCGCAGAGAGTCCGGCCTGGCCCTCTGGCGCTTGGGGATGACACCGGGTCACTATACTCAGACCCCCTCTCCCTGTCCGGGCATGAACCTCTATCAGAGCCAGATGGACCTGGCTGTCCCCGGACGTCCGCGACGGGGGCCCAAGAGGAACAAGGCCTCTTGGGCCCCATCCCAATGTCTCTCTGTGCCTGTCTCCCCCCGCCCCCCAAGCCGGCCTTGGCATTCTAACCAGTGTCCCTTGACGTCACATCTCGCCATTTCTGTCAACCAATTGAAACTTGCTCGTTGTCATAAAAATATATATACTTTTTATGCCATTGGTGCATTCAAAAGTTCCTCGTGTGCCCTGCTTCCCAGGAAACTCCATCCCATATTGGATTGGACTGCCCAGAAAGGGGAACTGGCTGACCGAGGCAGGGCTGGGGCGGCTGGAGCAGCCTTGCCAGGCCTGAGCTGACCACCGACCCAGCTTAGAAGTTCTCTAGACCCCTTTGATCTTGGCCTTGAATTGTGGCTGGACACCCCCCGCCCCCCACCCCATGACAAACATGGTTTTGTGGGGAGGGGAAATATCCAGGACATACTAAGGAATCTTCCAAAATGGTTTTGCTGGGTGTTAGGGTCTGAGTGTAGCCTCTTTCTAGGGACGGCTTCTCTAACTCCTATGAGAAAAATGGAGTTTTATGAAATGCTTTCCTGTTCATCTTCTCACTGAAACGCTGACCAACTTTCACTTTTCACAGCTGCTGACAACAGGCAGAGCAGAGAAAGCCCAAGCAGGGGTGACTTCACAATGGGGTGGGTTTCACTCTTTTCCAGGGGAAGGTCCAGGGTGGCCCTCCCAGACTCAAGGACTGTGGGGGTCCAGAGCTGGAAGCCTAGGAATTCTGTGTTCCTCCTTCCTCAGAAATGGACACCCTTGTAGCGGTTTGAGACGCAGGAATGCCGTGCCCGTGTTCTAGCAATACAGCAGAAGGACAGTGTCTCCTGTCTAGCACAGTACTTTATAATTTTCTTCCCTATTACAGTGCCCAGTCCCAACCTGGGCTGCAGGGTAAGAGAACAGGTTCCTACAAGCTGAGTATCTGCCGGGCGGTCCCAAAGAGCCGTCCAGAGCCTTCTTTCCACACCGAGGAAGAACCCAAGCACCAATGGCCATTACACATCCCACCCCGACCCCGTCCACTCATCTCTACTGCATGGTTCAACTGCTTCAAAAAACACATTAGACATTCTGTGGCTTAGCAACTTTGGGGACTCCAGAACTACAAACTGCTTTCAGGGACTGGCTGAATGCAGGCATCTAAACACACTGTCTCGGGCCCTTTTAATACCAAACCTTGTTTTTCCAAAATAATGAGCAAGCGCGGTTAATGATCGAACCGGGATTTTGAAAATAAATATATTTTCACACAAAACTGCTCCCAAGGGTAAACCCTGAAGTTGTGCATACCTTTGTGATAACATTCACAAACGCACGCACACACACACACTGTAATCTATTTATACTCTCTTCCCTAAACACTATAAATATTATAAGTAATGTGATACATGTTTTGTGATTAAATTGGTGGATTAAAACACTGAATTTAAAAAGCCACAAAGAGAAAGAGATGATCTTACCTTATGCCACTTACAACTTTTGTTCCTTTGGCAAAATACAAATTTGACAACTGTATCATTACTGAAGGCAATAAGCAAATGTTAGCATATCAGCTTTGTAATTTTCACCTGAAATCATTGTATAATCATACCAACTTGCTAACCTTTTTATTAGCTGATTTTTTTCATTCTCTCACACACAGTAATAAGTTAATTTAATGCCATTTTCCTCCTCCCAATTTTTATTTGGTAAAACAAGAAGTTGGATGAGTCAGAACAATATTTGAGAACGCACGATTTTTTTTTTATCCCCTCTGTACTTGGCAAGGATTTACATATAATTTGGTTGCGAATTCAGAAATCAAATTCCGCTTTATTCAAGGAAAATAATAGCTCTCTGGTAATTTCACCGGGCATTATTTAGGTTGGTTTTTTCAAGTCTTTTTCCAACTTGCTATAAAATTACATTTTTCGAAGTAAATAATTTTTTAAAATATGCTCAAATTATCAAAAAAGAAACCTAGAAGATTTATGTTGTCGGTGAGTGTTATCGATGGACAGTCTTCCTGGGAGAAGAACTTGGTCTGTGCCTGTGGGCCACACCACGCCTAAGGTCAGATGCTCAAAAAAATAAGTCCTAGGAAGGCTCTTGATATAGCAGGATGTTTACACTATCGGCCTTATACAGTTATTTTTTCCTGATTTCTCCCCAGATCTGCCTAATGGGAATGCGGCTGGCGACTTCCTGCTCTGCCCCTGAGCCCCCGTGTCCCCGACTCAGCCTCTGGCCTCACACCAGCCTAGGAAGGCCACGGGCATTCCAGTTCACTGTCTCTTCCCAACGCCGTGACTTTTAATGGTTAAAAAATGTCAGTATCCAAGGCATTCCAAGGACTTCGTAAACAGATGCGTTTAATCTAATTAAAGCAAGCAGGATGCGTGTGAGTGAAAACTTACATTTTCACTTGGGTTTTGAACATCCAGCTTGCACACTCAAGAATAATGATGTTTTCAAAGCTGCCCAATAAGCTTGAGATTGTCAGAGCGTGGCGGTTCCTGGGTAAGATGCCCCTTCTTCAGTCATCCCAGACAATGTGCCCTTTTGAGGAGCTACTGGGAGGCTAAGGGTGCTGCATGGAAAGGCAAACAAGCTTTAACATTTTTTTTTCTCTCTTTTTTTTTTCTTTTTTCTTTCTTTCTTTTTGTTGTTGTTGTTGTTGTTGTTGTTGTTTCTCTGATCTCAAAGTAGTCTGCCGGTTTGGGATTCCATTTCTATCTATTTCATAATAATGTGTACCCTTACTTTATGCAGGCTTTAATTGTACGCTCCATGATTTGTGCACAAACTCACTGGCACCAATTTACCTTGGGTAAGCTTTTTTTTTTTTTCTTACGGAGATGGTTGTGGAAGGGGGCCAGGGGAAAGAAGCCTGCTAGTGTAGCTACCGGTAAACCGAGGGAAAGATCATCGAGTGGGGGTCTCGGGCTGGGGAAGGAAGTGCAAGGAAGCCCCACGGAAAGGCTTCCTTCCTTGCAAACATAACGAAGCATTTTCAAAATCCTTTGCTTTCGTTCACCCCATTTCGTGTCAACCTTGGCATAGTTCACTGACGACCGAAATAAAACTCCAGCTATAGGAAAAGCATGTTTGAAGAAGAAAACAGAGGGCAGAAATCTACACTAGCAACCACCCGCCTCTCCCCGGGAAAAAAAGAAAAAAAAAAAAAGCTGGCAGACCATTTCTGTGTCTTCTTTCCTAAAATACATATATATCCACATATATATGGAACAGACTTAGTGTGTCTGCCCCAATGACGATGAATAGCACGCCCCACGCTCCCTCCTAACTGATGGGTAGTAACTCCCTGCCCACATATTCACAAGCCTGTTCAGAAACACCGGGACAGCTCTTTGGTCATATGTAACACACCCGCAAAGTCCACACATTCACCTTTCATGATGTGTTACCTGCGTACGTATATTTTTTAAAAAGTCTAACAATGCTGAAAGCACTCTTAAGAGGTTAAATATTTTTTTTCAAATAAAAGGAGAGCCTAAAACGACCAGAAGTCTGCAGCAAATGTGTGTTCGGTCACATATACGTCTGTATATGGTGAATACACTGTATATAATAATACATACATACCGGCATCAAAAATTTCCCCTTACAGATCAAGAATCACAGTGAATCTTTTTCATTCCCAAGTAGTAACAACACAAATCAGAAAAAATGAATTAAGGACGATAGACAGATACCCCTGGTCACACACGCATCCATCAAATGCCAAAGTGAGGTCCTCGGCATGACGTAAGGAATGAGAAAAAGCACAGAAGAAAATAAAGTTTTTAAACATCCAAATTAACTGTGGACGAGAAGTGGACACTGGATTTGTTTCAGTTGTTCAACTCTGCAGTCCCTCAAATGCAATCATCACCCATTGGGAAACCGACACTTTCCTAAAGAATTTAGCCTGCCACCTATAGCAAATGTGCATTAGCAATTAAAGGCAGATTGGAATTTGGAATTTAACAGTTTCTGGTGGACAGTTACCAACTTCCATGAAAATGAAAAACATCAGAAAATCTGAATAGAATTTCTCTCCCCAAATATCCAAGGAATGTCTTCGTTTCACATGTTGAAAAGCCTTGATTTATTTGAAATATTTTTGCATCGTATCAATCCTTTATAGGGAGCCTGAAATAGCCATTATTTCAATAACTATATAGTCTTCTTGAATCACATCTAAGCAGACTTTGCTATTATACATTTAAAGCAATTTTAAACTTGAGAAACTGTCATGTTTATTTTAATTTTTTTTTAAATACTGCTGAAAGTCAGCTCAATTGTTTTCTTTCCCCCAGATGAAACGAGAACTTTAGCATCATTTCTTAGCCATACAGTTTCTCAGTGAGCTAGGTAAATTATAAGCCCTTAGAATAAAGAAGAAAAGAAAGGAAATAAATCCTGATTTAGAACTCAAAAGGCTTATTGTTAAATTGCAAAGGACAGCAGGAACGTTTTTTTTTAAATCAAGATTTCACAGATCTGTTCTTTAAAATGATTGCAAAGAACCCAAGCTGCCTGCGAAGTAATCGCATGCAGAATGAGGGAATTTTTAGGGGACAATTTCAAGTTGTTTCAGATTTGACCATGGTGGTCTTACCAAAATACTCCCGTTTTATTTTCTTAAAATCTAATATGATTTCACACCACACAGGCAAGTAATTTGCCTTGTATATAATGACAGTTTCATTTTCCTGAATGTGCCTAAATATTGGTGCTTTTAGTTCTGGTTAACACAGAGACAAGGGTAAAGCAGGATTTTGCATGTATGCCCTTTCTACAACATGTCAAGAAGTGTTTTAGCTAAATTTATCATTGAAGGACAAGATAATATTTAATGGCTGCAAAGGAAAATACTCGAAAACAGAGCCAATGCTGATGTTCTGTTTTGTTTCCTGCTATTTATAGAGCAACTTTCGGTGAAATTCTTCATATTAAAAGGACACGAAGTTTATTTCTTTTAACGAAGAGAAAGGGGTAGTGTAAGCAATCGGTAAGGGGTGGCTTGGAATTTGCGAATATGAGTCGACATAATTTTCACACGAGGAACCTGTATTTTAAAAGAATCTATTTCAAAATAAAGAGAGAAGTGCACAGGCTTGGTTCTCCATGAGGCTCCCAGGAAGTGATTTTTAATCATCTTCAAAGGCTCCAGCCTTGGCTAATATCTTCCCATTAACCAGTTTTTCAACTCTGTATTCTAGACTGGCTACGCGATCCTGCTTCTAAGGTGGCCCCTTTTGCACCGTCTCATCTAGAAGGAGTGACAGCTGCTTCCTTCCCCGACACCGACAACCTGAAATTGACAGTCTCTCACACCTAGAATGCTGGAAACTTCTAGGAGGGCTCCGAGGCTTACTGGGAAACTTCTCTCACTGGGGGGAAAAAAAACCCAAAAAACCAAAAACAAAAACCTTCTCGACACACACCTGGATCTACAGATTTGGAAAAACTAACCAGCTGCGGCCAAAAACCAAAACACTCAACCTCCCGAACACAGTCTGCAAGAAACACAGAGCCCTTTGACGCCACGCAAAGACTTGTAAATAAAATAGCTCCAAGGCAGACAGGCTGAATGAGCCTCTTAAAACAGCCAGTTGGTGCCTCAAAATTTAAAATTAGAACATTAAATGTTAACAACACGAGGATATCCTGGGATACGTGTGTGCGCGCGTGAGCACGCGCTTGTCTGTGTGTGTGTGTGTGTGTGTGTGTACACACGCATGTGTATGTGTATGTAGGAATACAAGTTTTGCCGCCCTACGGCTTGGAGCTGATCCGAGGTCCTGCTGGAGAGCCCCTAAAGCAGGCAACAGGCCGGCCGTCCCGCATTCACTTTGGGCCCCTTCCTTTCTCATTACACATGTGCAAACATCCAAAGCCAGCGAAAACACAACCTGCTGTAGATAACAAGGACCGATCTCAGATACAGAAAAGTCTTTGCCTGGAATAAATGGTGATTTGTGGAAGGCAAACCAAGCTGACCTCATTCTTTGTCATTAGGACAAAAGCGGCACAGCCCGTGTTGGGGAGTGAGGCAAGGGCCGGCAGCTCTGGGAGACACGGGGGCTGGATTCCTCTGAGAGAAGGTCACGTTTGGGGGGTTGGGCCGGGGTTTGGGCCCCGCAGACCCTTACCCTAGCCAGGCTGGGTATGGCCGCAGATAGAGTCTGGGCTTAGACTCTGGGATCAACATTCAGGGCTCTCGGGTGTCCGTGTCAGAAGGAGGAGGGTCTCCAAAACGTCAAAGCCAATCCCTGAAATTGGGGGCCATCTCGGTGTCCTGTCCAGAAGCCTTAAGGGGACAAGGACGTTCTTTATCTTGCTCAGTTGCTCCCCACGCTTGGCCCACACGTCCTTCTTCTGGGTGATGCAGAGGGTTTCCATACCATTCGGGGCAACAGAAAGAGCCAGAGCACATGGGCCGGGTCAGGTATGACAGGAGTCGCTAGGAATTCCCATCACGCATCAGCAGCCTTGCAGTAAAGGGTTCTTCCTGTGCTAATAAGGAGAGCACCTTGAGTGCGTACCACAAGCGCGTCCCAATTTACTCAGTGTTTTCCCCTGTCTCTGTCTCACGGGATCTCACGGCCCGAGAGGAAGAAGCAACAAAAATGATGATGCCTCCCTATAAGCCAGGGAAACTGAGGCCCACGTGGGTGGAACAGTGACTTGGCCTGGGACCCTAAGCCACACATGCCACTTTGATATTTTGCCTTGCTTGCTTGCTTGCTTGCTTCTTCTTTCTTTCTTCTTATACATCACCACCCACCTCTTCCTACTCATACACACACAGGTTTATTTTATAGGTAAGAATCGTTCCCAGGAAGAACAGAGCCTCATTGAAATCTGGGTCCCAGAACTGCTTTAAGCTGGCCAGCTCTGGTGGTCCCCCACCCCTGCAGCCAGATTCGGTCATCTGAGGCGTCCACCCTTCCCAGCCAGGTGCATCCTGATCTCCCCCTCAAGTCTGGGCTGGGATGAGTCTACGTCCGGGGTAAAATAGTAGACACAGGTTTGCCGCTGGGGCCTCCAGAGTACTCCCGACCAAGCAGCCTCGCCTGAGCTCGGGAGTTGGGTTGCTCTCTGTCCACCGCCCTTTCTGCTGGGGGGAAGTGGGGGCCAGCTCCCCGAGAGCAGGATCTCCCCAGCCACGCAGCCAGGGTGGCTCTGAGCCTCACCTGAGCCTTCCCCCTGCTTTCTGCCCTTTCTGAAGCCGGCAGGCCCGAGCCAGTCGTTTTGGTATAAAAGACCAAGCAGGTGACCAGGACGGCCAGGGAAAATCTCTAAGTCACACACCAGCAAGGACCACTGACACCTGGCTGCCTGCAGAGAGGCTCCCCGTGGCAGTTCTTTCCGGGAGGGCTGGCCCGGGGCCCAGGTCCAGACATCCGCATTCTGCAGGGGCACACATAGCGGATCAGATGAACTAATTACTCGTCAGAGCAGAGAAAGGACAGGTAGGGACTGCGGCGGTGGGGGACCGACGATGAGGAAGGGGACAGTGAATGAGGAGACTGGGTTCTTTAGAAAATAGCACTAGGGACGGTGAGCCATGCAGGGCACGACTCCAGGGCCCTTCCCTCTCCGGCAGAGATCGGCACCACATATGGAAGCGTACCCAGCGCTGGCCTGGCTGCCCGCTCGCCCCCAGCTCCGCTCCGTCCTCCAGCAGAGGGGCATGGCTCACGGCTCTAGAACACCACACCTTCCCGAGGCCGGACTCCGCATTAGAACGTTCCACCCCACAGACAGCACGCTCAGAAACACAAGCAACATTTAAAAGAGGCTCCCTAACAAAGGTGAGCGAATGCAGCTATGAGATTCATGAGGAGTGGGGCGAATGAGAACTAGAGACCACCAGGCTCCTCTTCAAAGCAAAACCTTCCAAGACTCCTTCCTCTTTCCTTTCTGCACCTGACTACAGGAGAAAGTGCTTTTTAATAAAGACCAAAATCTTAAAAAAAAAAAAAAAAAAGAGTTGCAAGGAGCTGAGTCACAGAAGCTTTTTGGGGTAAAAAGTATAACCTTGCCCAGAATTTGAGGGAAAAACAAAGAACACAGAGGACACAGAATGGCCAAGGCCCGACTTCAGCGACCACCGCCTTACTAATATCTTCTCAACCCCAGCCCTCCCTAGAGCTGTCCGCAGACCCCAGAGAGGTTGTGAGGCCTGGTGCCGGACACAGCCCCTGAGCCAGAGCGGGGTCTGAAGGTCCCTGTTTTCCCTCACTTGGGACTCGGAATTCTGCTTCCCTGGATCTCTTTTTCTTTCCCATCTGCCGGATTCCCCGCAGAAATAAAGAGCAAGAAAGAAAAACAGGGTCCAGTGAACCTCTTGTCTCTGCACCTCCACCCAGCCTTAAGGGCCCTGCCTAGAGGTGCCTCCTGTAGGGGTCCTGGGGTCCTTCCCCCAAGGGGGACAGGTGCGCGCGCGGCCCTGGGGGCTGCCTACGGTCTGTCCGCGGACCAGGCTCATTTGCCAACCGGGGCTAGTCTCATGCAGCCCCCTGGTGCCAGAGTCCGGGCTGGGCAGGGACAGGGTTGTGCCTGCAGCCGCTCCGGTGGTGGCGGGAAGGCCCGCGAGCGCCTCCACCAGGCAGCCCCCGGGCTCGCGGCGCAGGACCTCGGGCGGGGTCCTTGCGGGGCCCGGGCGGGGCCGGTCGGCAGCGGGTCTGGGGCGTGGGGCCTGGGGCCTGCGGTCCGCATCCCGCGCAGAGCAGAGCCTGAAGTCTGAGCCTGCGGCTGGGTGTACCCGGGCCGGGCATCGGGTCCGCAGGGGGCAGGACGGAGTCCGGGGTCCGAACCGAGGTCTGGAGTCGGAGTCGGAGTCCGCGGCCGGGTCTGCGAAGGGCAGAGATCGGGGTCCAAGCCGGGGCCCCAGGCCCAAGTCCGAGTCCTGAGTCGCGCAGCGGTCCCGGGTCGAGCTCTCAGTCCGCGTGCCGGTCTGGGTCCGAGTTCCCGGCCAAGCCAGGGGCCGGGGTCTGGGGTCCGCCTCCGCGTCCAGGTCCGGGTCCGCGTCCGCGTCCGGTCCGAGCAGGGCCCGGGGTCCGCAGTCGGAGCAGGGGCCGGGGTCCGCGGCGGCGGCGGCGGCGGCGGCACGCGCCCCAATTAGCCGCAGCGGGCGGTGGGGCGGCCCCACTGAGGGCGAACAAAGGGCGCGACCCCGGGGTCAGGGAGTCGCGGGCCGGCGGCCGCCACTTGTTAGCCCGCCCTGTTTACTTTGCCGAAGTAAAGCGCACAATATATTGGCTAAAGCGGATTAGAGGGTCGCGCCCCGGAGGCCGGCGGGACCTCCCAGCCCGGCGCCTCCCGGGCCGGCCGGGCCTAGCGCGTGCAGACCCCTTCCCGCCCGCGTCCCCACCCGCAGAGGCAGCCGGGGAAACTGAGGCTGCGCCCGCCAGGCCCCGCCTGGGAGGCAGGAGCGCGGGCCGGGAGCCGGCCCAGGGCCTGGAGGGGGACTCGGCAGAAGGCCGGCGCATCCTCGCGGGTCCCTGCAGGTCTGGGCTCACCTGCGCCACGTGGCAGCCCGGCCGGGTGGCTCTGAGAACGCCCCACGGGGCCTTTTAAGCCGGCGGGGGTTGGGGGGGGCATTGCGTTATTTCCCAGACCCCTGCGTTTTAAAGATTCTGCCCTTCCCATCGCAGCTGGTCCTGGAAATTCATTTTACGGGGGAAAAAAATGACACTTGCTTCAAAGATACGGTATTTTAGATGGAAACGTGGACTGATTTTTCCACATCACAAAATCCTGTAGCATTGTAGTTAAAAAAATCCTTCCCTCCAGTTTGACACGAGATGTTCCCATGCATCTCCAGCTGTCAATCAGCAGGTGTCTTAAGATTGCAGAATAATATTTTGTGATAGGAAAGTCCTGCCAAAGTACAGCAGGGGTGGGGGAGAGTGTTTTCTTTCTTTTTTCAAAGACAAATAATGAGTATAAGTAAACCAAGGTTCCCCCCAAAGACCACAGTTTATCATCTGGCATTATGAACCCAAAATCTATATGCTTCTCCAGATAGGAACTTGAAGAACCTTTTAAACTGCCAAGCAGTAGAGGCAGAAAACATTAACCCGCAATCAAGAACAGGGTCTAACCATAGGTGGTTAGACCAAGTATGGGACCATGTATCCAAGAAGAATAAGAATGCCCTTTTTTCCCTTTCCAATGCTATTGCTGAGGGGGCAAAAATATTTCTTCTTAGGTTCACACAAAATCTGAATTGAGTTTTTTAATGCCCTGGTTGTGTAAACGTACATGTTTGGTTAGTAAACGCATGTAGTGTTTGATTAATAAGCTATCAAGGTATAAATCTTTCATAAGAAATGAATAATATTTACTTACTATACATATCTGTTGGTCTAACGAATATTTCTGCTACATACCATCTATCCACAATTACTGAAGGAGAATACGCCATTTGTCTATACTTCTACTCACAAGCCTTTAAAAATTTTTTCTTTTCTGCTTATAAAAATACCATGTGTTTAGAGAAGGGACAGCAAGGTCCAAAGCCTGAGTAATTTAAAGATAGATATTTAAGATAGAGATCATTTACGTAGTAAACATAAAATGCAAATAATTCAAATATAAAATACACAGAAAAAGGAAAATTCACCGATATGCCATTATTCAGAAGGAGCATTCTATTGCATTTCCTTCCCAACAGTAAACACGTGCATACAATTACATCATTTACCTCCATATTTACTGTATGTGAAATGTTGTATCTGTTGGTCCCCATGCCATTACAAACTCTTTGTCAACAGCATTGTAACAGGGACATGCTATTCCATTATTTTGTTACGTGATAATTTACGCCACCATCCCCCATTATTCCAAATTTCATTTCTTGCTAATATTTCTCTGCTGTAACTAACACGACCACCAGTGGCCTTGCCTGCGAAGTCTGTCTGCCATATGGGTTATGAATCGATCTCTAATGGTCCACTATTAGGGTGTTGACGGGTGCACTCTTCTAAGGGGCATTCAGGCCGACCTCGTAGGCTCCATTTGTCCCATCAGAAATGAACGTGGAAATCTTAGAATTCCCCTGGATCACAGTTACCCCAGAAAGCAAGACGGGAATCAGTTTGTCCCCCTGCCGGAGGCCTGACGGATTTGCGGGACCAGCCGAGGCACATACCAGATTGCGACACGGCCTTTGGCAATGGTGCCCTCGCGCTGAAGGGCTGGCCCATTTCTGCCTACCCAGCTGCTTGGCACGAACCCCCCACCGCGTGGTGGGTTTAAGTCAGGACCATAAAGCTGAACACCTTGGAAACATTATCTCAATAGCTCTAACGAAACTTTGTGTGTCTAAGAAGTGATTTGGCTCCAGCGGCTTTTTTTGCAGAGAATCCAGAACTCGGGCCTGCTTTTTCACCCCTTCTCCCAGCTGCTTCTGTCCTCCCGCCCCCTTGCCCTGTCCTGCACGGAGAAGGCCTAGCCCGGCTCTCCCCCATCTCCGCGGCCTGGGCCTTGCAAGGAGTCGCGTCTGGGGCCCCTGCCCCTTTCCTCCGACGCCCTGAGTCAGCCGGGGCTCTGCCATGGGGCCGTATTGGCCGTCTGTCTGGCCTGCCCTGACTTGGCTCCCAGAACGGTGGGGGACAAAGCCTAGGGGCCGTTCAGCCCGAGGTCTTCTCCCCGAACACCGAGGCCTGCATGGGGGCCTGCCTGAAGGAGGCGACCTGTGGGCCAGGGAGGAGTTGCCCCTGAAGGAGAGCAGCCTGGAGAGGACCAGAGGCCACGGCAGAGAAGTCACTGAGTTCCTCCGAAAATAGGTGCCCCCAGGAACTGACACGGTGGCAGCAAAGAAAGCCTGGAGAGAAATCCTGGAAACGTGACCAAGCTGCAGGGGGGACGAGGATGAATAATTTTTCCCTTATGGGCATTTTCCTGTATTTTCCCAGTTTCACGAGATGAGCGTATATTGCTCACAAACTCAGAAAAGGATCGTATCACTGATAACACCGTATTTATTGTAAGTCAAGCAGATCTAATTCATTACCAGAATGAAACAAATTACTGTTAAACAGGTATGAGTTTAACATAAACAGTAATAATCCCACAAGGCCGGAGAAGTGACTAAGATGATAATCACATTCACGTGGTTCCAGCACTTTGCCCTTTAGAAAAACACTTTCAAACAGAAAATGAAACTGGGCAGCTTTGCTGTGCAAATATTGGCTGCCTTATTCTAGTTCTGCAATAGCACTTGACCGTGGGCTTGGACGGACACTATTCTCCATTTAAATTTGGGAAACAGGCTTGGAGAAGCAACGAGCCCAAGGACGGGAACAGAGGCTGCGAGTCGCCCACAGCAGTTTGTCCACAGCAGTTCCCACACCTCTTGGTGCCTTCCTGTGGGGGAGACATTCTCCCTGGGGATCGCCTGTGTTTCCCGTTATTCCATATTTTTTTCCCCCATTACCGGAGGCAGTGCCAGTGGCCAGAGTGGGACTGAAATTAGTGAAGATTTTCTTGGGTTTGTTTTAAAATACTGGTATTTGCACAGTCTATGTATCCCTTGAGAGGTATAGGGCTCACTGGGACGCAGCTGGCTGAGGTGTGCGGGCGCGCCAGCGGGGCAAAGACTGTCTTTGTCATAGGAAGAGCCGAATGCCACACTGCCCCTGGGAAGGAAAAAACATGGGTAGGATGACGACTCACGTTCATGTCTATGGAACTTCTGAGGCCGGAGTCCACCCCAGAAGAACTCATGATGCCCATGTGGGAACATGCATTTTGTTGTCTTATTTTTTAAAAGGAGGCCCCTTCCGGCCCCTTGATAACAACGGATGGGAACAGACCTACGAATCCAATGTATTTGATCTTAAGTCTCTTTCTTTCACAGCAAGTGAAAAGGCGAACCACCAGCATGCTGTCTTCTACTCTAAGAGGCAATTGCTAAATTTGGATTGGGGGGGGGATTGTACTCCAGCTTGAAAATCCAATGGCTCTCGGAAAGCAAGTAAGATACACCCCTCTTTATGCCAAAATCATCTTAACTGGTTACAAATAAATCAGAACAAAATGATGTGAGCAGAACATATGCCTTCTGTCTCTTGTCTTTGGGAGGCAGCGTGGGACGAGCGGTGGCCTGTGGACCCGGGAGCCGTCCGGAGAGTGGCACATGGTGGTTTTGAACACAGAGGTGTCCTCAAATCTGGGCTTTTTACATTCCGAGGACACCTCCAGTTTCAGACGAAGATTAAATTATTTAAAACAAATAATTATCATGTGTAATCAGCAGGTAAGATCAATGAATTGGAGACATTTATTTCCTCCCTGGAAGACATCTGGCACTTGGGATTTTTAAGCTGCAAGTAGATGGGCACATTTTCCCAAGACCCTTTATTTTCACTTCTCCTCACACAGGGCACAGCAAACCATCCCTGCCTTCTAAAATAAAAACACATGCAGGGGCACCTGGGTGGCTCAGTCGGTTAAGCCTCTGCCTTCGGCTCGGGTCATGATCCTAGGGTCCTAAGATGGAGCCCCACATCAGGCTCTCTACTCAGCGGGGAGCCTAATCCCCCCACCCCATGCCTACCTCTCTGCTTGTGATCTCTGTCTGTCATATAAATAAATAAAATACTAAAAAAAAATAAAAACACATGCTGCTTTAATTTAGCAAAGAAAATCCAACACGCAGAATCTCTGCACAGATAATTTTTAATTAAAAAGAGAGAGACTGCTCGCCGTGCCCTCTACCTCTGGGACAGCAGTTACCTTCTCCACGTGTTAATAATTTAACTGTCAAATCACAACAAACAGCTAATTCCATCTTGGAGCCTCGAAGACTGCAACCCAGGAGGGAGATTTCGGTCATTACCACTGAGGCACAAAGGCTGACAGAAGTCCTCCTTCCCGAGGGCCCCCAGACAGGGCTGGGACATGACTAATTTATTTTCTCTTATCCATCATCTATGCACCAGATTAAAATATTTATATCAGTCTGTTCACTTTAAGATGTGCAGAGCCGGCGTCAGCTTCTGAGCCACTCCTTGGGTGTTCAGTTTTGGCTTTTCATTGTTTCCAGCGATGCACGGCCCTTCATGGGGAGCACTCTCAAAGGCTGGTGGGATCTTTGAGTGGGGACCGGCACGTACGGCTACGTACCTTGGGCACAAACCTCTCCCCCGTGCTGCCCAAATGCCGCCTAGCCACGGTGACGGGGCTGTGCCGACACATCTCTCCCAAGAGATGCCGGTGAAATCATGCAGGCCTGAACCCTGCTTCGAGAAGGAGCTTGCCTCTGGCCGGGCTGGCTGATGGAAACCAGACCTTAGTCAGGATGCCCCAGCCGGGCAGCCAGGTAGACAACGGGGAGCAGAGGGTTAATCAGGGAGTCGGGAGGGGTGCAAACAAAAGGCCACGGGCAGAGATGGGAAACCAGCAGGGGAAACCAGGCTGCAGGGCCCAGCCCAGCCAGGCACAGACACAGGGAGCTCTGTGTGCCTGCCCGCTGCCCGGCACTGTGACTAACCGCCCCACTATTGTACCCTGAAGCCAGCCCTTTGTACCGTCCCCCTGGTGTCTGGGAGCACGGCTGGCCGAAGAAAACCTTTCCAGCAGTCCCCCCTCATCCT